GCTACTGTGATTCCTTGCGGTCTTGCTACGGCACGAGAAGTGCAAAAACGCATAATCGCACCGGCCTGGGTTATTTATTTTCATGAGAGCGCAGTGGCATGGTGGATCTTCGTTTAGTCAGGCACTATATTCCGATACCTTCTGCAGGCCGGATTGAAACCAGTTGCGGGTCGCCAGTTCCCCATTTGTGAGTTAGGGGATCGGGACTGCGCATCAATGGCCTTACTGCTGCTCTATGTATATCTTATGGACACTAATCAACAGCGCAAAAAAGCTGAATAAAAAAAAAATTAATAAACATGATTTCTTGCAATCCAGAATTTTCTTTTATTTGATAAATTTTATCCAGCAAATTCGCAGTGATTGTTTGCGTGAAGCAAAAAGTTTGATCCGAGCAGTCTGCAGTTAACACACTCATCATATTGTAGTCTGTAAAAATATGAACGATGAAATTAGCGACTGCATTACGCTTCCACCAGGACACTTACTAAATCATCGTGGGCAAAGATTCGAAATTTTGAAACAAATTTGGAGCGGACCGTTCAGTGAAGTGATGGTGGTTAAAGATATCACTGGGGGCGAACGATATGCAATGAAAACTGAAAAAACGTCCGATCCTAAGCGGTACCATTCGACTCGTTAAAATCTGAAATTCTTTGAATTCGGAATTTTTTATGTCTAGAGGAACTTTACTTACCTGTTCTCGTTTTGATCAGCTATTCTCGCCATTGATGCAGTTGGCTACTTCTCTATTTTCTGTTTTGGACTTCTTCACATAATTCCTCACAATCGTTCACTCGCATCGTTCCACTATATCCGCCACTTTTAGCATTCTGTCTGTGATGAATAAAACAAAACTTCCTACAGTCGCTTATCGCGAATTACAATTGAATCGACTGAAGCGAAGTCGTGTCGATGTTGAGTAACCAGGAATTCTGACAGGAAGTCGAAGTCGTAGTAACCGGTAGTATTAAGTCAAAATCGTAGTAACCAAGAGTTCTGACGGATGGTTCCCGTCCGTTTTATACTGTTATTTCCGGGGGACTAGACTTGTTCTTGGGCGTATTTTTTTGAATTTAATCCTACTCGCCTTGTAGGGGAGGAAGGGGGCAGTTTTTCATGTGTAACGAAGCTGCGCTGATTTATGTGTTTAAAAAGCGATGTGCTTGTTTACCGTTTTCACTGCTGTCGTTATGTCAAATACAGGTAATGAGTTACTATTTGCATTTGGATTTTACAGAAATATAATATTTTGAATTTTTCTCCATTACAAGTTCTTTGGACGGTTTTACACCACGAAAGTGGTAAACAGCTCCTTCTTTTTTGTTTCGAAGAGGTTTTCCTCTTCAACATGGGATTATTTTACCATGATGCTAATATGAGAAAGGTTGTTTGCTTTGATGCTAATATCAGAAAATACATTTGCAGCTCGGTTTTAAAACTCGATGTTTTTGTTCTACGAGAGTTCGAGAACACGAAAATAAAAGGCTTCCCACAATTTATCGCGCAGGGTCGTATTGGCCGTCTGAAATATGTCGTCATGCAACTTCTTGGACCCGACTTGGGCAAGCTGCGTCGCAGCTTACCCGGCAAGAAGTGAAATGTCTAGTTTGCTGTCAGAATGATATGAAGGATTAGATTTTTTTGCTAATTAGAAGTAAAAATTGTAAAAAACAGTCCCTAAAAACAGCATTCGGAAAATATAACCTTCATCAGTGATGAAACTAGAAAGTGCAAAAAGATTTTTATGCAGTAACAAAAAAAAACTTTTAGATTCAGTTTGACAACAGCGCTTCGCCTTGGCATTCAGACGATGAATCGAATTGAAGCGCTGCATGACGCTGGCTGGATTTCGCGTGACATTAAAGCGAATAATTTTGCAGTTGGTCCAAAGAACGATATCCAGACAGTTTATATGCTAGACTTCGGCTTTGCTCGACGATTCCGGTAAATTTTCAGCTTATTATGCATTTTTTGCAGCTTTGCAATGCTGAAAACGCATATTGACAAGGGGTTGTCTGTGTGTGTCTGTGTGTTAGTCTGTACCGATTTTTTATCCCGAGACCTAAAAAAGCTACGGGGCTGAAATTCTGGGGAATTAATCTACATGCATGTACGGGCCCCCATCCCAAAATGGGCGCTCTTACCTGCGTGGTACTCACGTACGAGCCCGCCAAAGTTTTTTACGAGTAGGCTGGTAACTCGGGAAGCAGAAATGCTGGGAAGCTGAAATTTTATAGAACGTCCTCATCAAGTGAGTACTAATAAGTTTAAACCCAGCCCTCGGGTAAGCGTGATACCTACGTACGGGCCCGCCAAAAAAAAAAATTTTTTTTCAGATAAGTCGCTAACTCGGGAATCTGAGAAGCTAAAAGGCTGAAATCTTAAGGGGATGTTCCCTGTTCAAACGAGTATCAAAGAGCTCAAACCCAGCCTCCAGATAAGCGTGGTGCCCAAGTACGGGCCTCGCCAAAATCTCTTTCGGGTAAGTAGCTAACTTGGGAATCTGAGAAGCTAGAGGACTGGAATTTTGAATGGATCTTTCCTAACAGTCCTGAAGGCCAGTCTGAAATTCTTTTAGCTAGAAGCATCTGCCGGAAAAATCAGTGCCGTTACCAACAAAAATCTGCGGGGGCTGTGCAAAAAAAGCATCTTCACACGGGCAGCCCGTATGTTGGCCAATTATTTTTATATCTGCTTTGCATTAACAGCTGCTAAAAATGCATAGCAGGTGCTCACCATTTTTGAGCAATTCAACTTGTGAATAAGGAAAACGGCAAAGTTTTAACTCTTTCGTTTTTCTTGTTTTGACTTTCTATGCTCTTAAGACTTTTCTTGTTGAAACCGTATGCTAATGCTAGTTGCCATGCTCTTGCCTTATTATTGCGGACGTAGTAATTTCTGCGCTTCGCTTCCTCCTACTTAGCTCTCTCCTTTCTCTCCATTCGTACCTCTTCTCATCCGCGAGGGCTTCCTTTCTTCTGTCCGAAAAAAATCCATCCTTCCGCATAGTATTTGCAAACTACGCTTTAAGGATTGACGAAGAAAAGTGAGTGAAGACGTATTATGAGATTTAAAATGGGCCATGTATTTGTTGATTTTAACGGAAACATCACCTTAGTGCAAAATTCAGGGATCGAAAAGGCAGCCTGTATCAGCCACGAAGCTCAGCAGCACTTATTGGATCAATTCATTATTCGTCGCTAGCCGCACATGCATTTCGGGATCAGTGTCGACGAGATGATATCGAATCTTGGTTTTATATGGTTTGCGAACTCATTAAAGGTAAACAAACGCCAATGCACCTGTTCTGCAGCGGACATACAGTAAGCAAATTCCGCTCGATGTACACAGCTTCTTTTGTACCCTCACAATATTTTCAACTGATCGTCAGTTATCGCAAATAAAGATGGCGGTATCGTCGTGCACGTTGCAGTAATTTGATGTGGTGTTAAGGCACGGAGCCAAATCCTAAGATCGAAAGGAAGGAGGATGTAAATCTGACTACATAAATCCGGATAAATATACATTTCTGCAACATCGGGCTAATCCTGGCTGCGTGAACTGAAATTGTTGGCAAATAATTCAGGACCTCTTCCATGGGCAAGTGCAGATGCTCGAAAAGACTACATTTTGATCGGCGAATGGAAACGATATGCACGATATGGCGGTCGATATGAGCTGCTGAAAGGAATGCCGGAAGAATTCGACAAAATACTGGATTTGATCGATAATACAAAGTAAGATTAACAAAACCAGTGGAAAACAGCGGAGTGAAAAATGGAGGGCGTTACACTTATTTTTGCCTTCAAAGTAGTGAGCTAAAGTTACTAGGAAGCATTTATAGCCACAATAATCAGCAATCCGTAACTGTTAATTCCTGGATAGCTTATGCGCTTTCATTCTGCCTGAGCAAACAATGATCGATGAGCTTCTGCGCCGCATTCAGCCCTTGTGAATTTAATAAATTTTTCACTTTTATATTTGGACGTTCTCAGCCTTTTTGAAATTAACTTGATTTTCAGATACTACGAACGACCTGATTACCGGACATTTTATCAGTTAGTCAACAATATCTTCACTCGACTGAAGGTATTAATAGCCAAGCCAATAAAGAGTTGCAGCAAAATGGAAAAACTGTAAGAAGCTAGTGGTTCAAAGTGACCAGCTTAGTGGATGCCAATTTTTGCACCTGTGCAAATTGCAACGCAGCCCTTTAAAATCCATAAGTTTATTCAGTACAGTGGATCCACAAATTTATTCGGAACTTCACTGCTGGCTCTTGCAATCATTAAAATCCATTAATTTATTCAGTAGTGTAGAAAGATATTTTTGAAATGTGTATCGCAAAGGACACAAGAAGAACGGAAAACAATGCAGGAAGGCGTGACTTTTTGAAAGGCACTTATTGAATATTGCCACTGAAAAATAAAACATTTCTCAAAACTTCCAATTTTAGTAATTGATTGCGATAAAAACCGCAAATGCGACGAGAATTTATTTAAATAATGAGCATCTCCCTAATGATTGTCCAGCTGTTCTTCCACTGGTCAAACTCTTTAGAGGACGCAAGGAGAAAAGTCATTGTAATTTACAAATTCGAAAAATTTCAGCTTTTCTGTTTCTTCAGCAGTTCCAATTTCTTTTCCCCTAAGAAAATGTGCATTTCAGCTAAATCGAAAAACGCCATTTGAGTGGCAGGACAATCCGCAACTTATTCGGAAGGCATCAGTAATTGGTGACGAAGGAGAGTCGTGTTTTGCAAGCTTTCGTCTTCGCGAGTTGACCAATAAGCCAGATAATGATGATGATCTAGTGATCCCTCCATGTAACCCGGATCTAGCTTGCCCTCCATTCAAGTGAAACCGTGTAAAGCTCAGCTGCATGTCTTTTTCGTGGTTGCATGATCACCAGCGTTTTGAGATGCGGGAATTAGTGCAGGCGCTTGCAAGCGTATCACAGTTGTATTTTGTGCAAATGCAATATAAGCGATTACTACATTTCAACGACAGTGTGAATTTTATTTCATGGTGACCCATGCTATCTTGCGTTTTTGCAGCACTTCGTGCTGTAGTAAGATCGCTCGGAAACCTAGTAACGAGAAAATGTGACATTGGTCTTCGAACTTCAGAAAGTTAATTGTGCAACCATGCATTACTGGACAGGAAGCATTCCGTTAAAACTTTAGGCAATTACTAAAGCTCGTCTCGACTCATACATTTTTCCTGACGGCAGGTAGGGCTGCCCCACGACAGATGGCGGCAGTTTGAATGTGGCGAGTGGAAGTGGGGGTGGTATGTGGCGGGTTTCGCTCGAGGTACAGGAGGGGAGTTAGGATAGATGGGTGTAAGGAATAAATGGCGTAGATCCTTTGCCGATTGACTAAGTAACGTACATTTGAGGGGAGAGGTGAAGAACGGGAAGGATAAGGAAGTGTTATCTTTTTAACGAAACTGATGCTTAGATAAAGCTGTTCCACAAAAACCCGTCATTAGGCTTCCTTATTTATGAAACTGATGCTTAGATAAAGTTGTTCCACAAAAACCCGTCATTAGACTTTCCTATTTATGAAACTGATGCTTAGGTAGAGCTGAGAGCGTGCAAGTTCCATGAAATGTGCAAAAATAGGGTGGAATGGATGCCGGGGGATGAAGTCAGCCTTTGCTCCTGTGAGATTTTGAAGAAAAAAACAAAGTTATAACTGTTGTGCACTGTTGCGGGCTGCAAGAGGCAACACTGTGGAATTGTCTGCAATTCTTGTGTAATCCAATCGGACTTATTTGCCCTTAGCTTCATCTAAGCATAAACCTCATAAATGCGGGGGCCGTTTACTGAAGGCAGGTTTTTGTAAGACATTCTATTCGCATAAGCTCAGTTTTTGTTTGCTTTTGGTTGTAGGCTCCAGTTCTTTGATTTTGTTTTTTTTTCCTTTTATTCACATATTCAGGTTTGTTTTAATTTACTTTTCTTTGTAGTGCCGTGTTGGTTTATTTTCCTCTTTACTGCT